AATTATAACTAAAGAAACGCACATTAATGGCAGTATTGTGACTGTGACACAGCTGAAGTCAAAAGCAATTGCTGTCAGTTTTCTTGTTAAACTAAGAGTACAAAAGACCAAGAAAATAATCTGTTCAAGTGTAGGGCACAGGCAGAAAAAAGCTTTGAAACCCCCAGTATTAGACTATCCAGTGATGTGAGCAACTGTAGAAATTCAAAGGAGGGCCACACACATATCTGAACTATGCACTGGCACTTTTGGCTGCAGAAAACAGCCACAGGTCATATCTCATAAATGAGAAATTTGATATAAAAGCTATCTACAGGGCCTGAATAGTTTGCGACAGGGCAAGTCTTTCTGCAAGGCTCATGACCCTCATTTATCATCTACGCAAATACACAGTTGTTCTAATACAATCTAAGTTTTCATATCCATTACTGATTTGGTCTGTGAGAAAACTCTTCCTCTTCTTCCTTGATGTCATTAATATACAAATCACCAGCTTCACTGAGTTGGTATTATGGGTCCGTTTGACCCTTTTTAAAAATAAATATTGGTGTATTTCAGACCTATGATTAATCGAGAAAATATTCTGCATATCAATCAGTAGTGACAATCATCACTAGTCACAGCCATAATGTGGCTAATCCAAATTAAGTTTCTAATGAACGCTGTGGTAATATGGCAACACACTGTAATCTACATTGTCAGCTTTGTTTACTGTTGTAAACCTGGTATACAACACTTCTGCTGAAACCTGCAATTTACTGATTCTCTGTTTGAACGTGGCTAAAGAACAATACCACCAACTGAAGGTAGGACTGATTTTATTAGAGTTAACACTTTGACAGCTAGTGCCCTCTCTACCAAAGTTTTGCATAATGCTGACTCCACATTTCAACCGAGTGAATGCAACAGTAACCTTTGGTAAACTAACAACGTGGGAGGCTGGCCAGAAACGGATTCATCTTCAAACCAGATACAATCATTACAGGGGCAACAAGCACGAATAAATTCCTTAAAATGAAAAAGCAAAGCTTCATGTACTACAACACAGGTATAGTACCATTCCAATTAATCCAGCCCTTCCATTGCCCAAGATGAGTATTCAGCTCTACATTATTCAGGAGACACAGATTCATGTGTAGCGATGACAGAAAACCTTGATGTTGCAAAAGCTCCCCTGTAATGAGGCATATAATTAGTGGGCTGCTGGAGCTGGCGGGGCTGGATTTGTGATCACAGCAGGCATCAGCTGCTCAAAGTTAGAGTGTTCTTTGTAGTAGGTGGGAATCACTGCTGTGAAGATTTATTTTTGGACACTCCAGTGTGAGTGTTGTGCGAGATAGAGACGTGGCTTAAAAGAACGTATTAATCAGATGTGGATACATGCTCTCTGCACTACAGCCACACCATCAGTCTGCAGAACTGTTCCTTAACAAGACAAGAAATCCCAACCAGCTGTTGCTGTGGTCAGGCCTGAGCTCAGGCCTTTCTGAAATTACAACTCAGTGCAGATGAACTATTAGTACTGTTTTTGTTACCGCAAACTCGTGTCTTGCTCTTACCGTTTATAGGAGATTTTTTGTTTCCTCTTATGGCAGTCCATCACCCATTCTTTCTGTACGATGATACCCCCTGCTGATTTCACCTGGCTGTACTTGGGGGTGTTAGCGAAGGCACAGCTGAAGATTAACGGGTCGAAGCAGATGTGCATGACCACACACACAGACACACACATAGACATCATTAAAGGTCTGCTGGTAGGGGCAATCATCTGCTCTGATGATACTGGGAAGAGTCTTCTCATCAATGTCTTGGCAAGAAAGCAAATAGGTGCATTACCCAAAATGCTGAGTTACTGTATTAAGGGTGACTGTATTAAGTGACTCATCCACAAACAATGACAAATGCTAAAGGGAGGACAAGTGAAGCATGCAGTTTTCACACACTTCCCCTTTCCCTTCCTGCCAGCTACTTACATAAGGTGTGTGGAGTCGGGTGTCCAGTCGGACCGATACTTGGCTCCCATATCCAGAGCCTTTTCCCTTAGCTCCCCTCTGAAAGGGTTCTGGAAGCCGCTGAGGACAAACACAACCCCCTCCATGATCCGGCTGAATGGGACCTCTTGGCCACTCTGAGGTTTTGTTTTCTGTTGTTTAGGTTCGGTTTTGGGTTTGGACCGACTCTCTCTCTTCTTGTCAACAGATTTTTGTGCTGGAGAAGCTAGAAAGGCAGCAGAGAGAATCAAGGAAAGTTTGAGCTGGGAAATATCTATGTGCTAAGATTCAGATGCTAAAGTTAAGTGCTACCTTTCAAGACACCGGGGCTGGGTGTGCTGGCTTTGCTCTGCTTGTGTTTGGGGGTTGCAGCTTGGTCCTCAGGTGAGCCACCTGGGCTTATTTTCTTCAGAGGAGGCCCAGGGTCAGAGTGCCGCTCTTTGCTAAACTCAAATTTTCTTTTCGTTGGTGGCTATGAGGAAGCAATTCAAAAAAGTAACTAAAAATGGCATGCTTAAGCCACTTGAACAACAAAAATAAAAAGCATGTGTATGTTAGAAACAGCTGCGCTGGAGGAAATGCTTTTGGGTGACAAGTGGAACAAAGTAGACCCACACTTATACTTAACGCTACAAGGTAGTCATCTGGCAAAAAAGTACATTTAATAAACATGACTCAAGTGTGGACAGAATGGAAAAGGCAAGTCTTTTTCCATTCATCATGATGAGTGAGAAATAAAATGTTCTTTTACTCTGCAGAAACAATGACTATTTGTAGATTATTATAGTCTGTAGAGCATGTTTATGAAACAGACTAGAAAATTGGATACAGAACTGCAATCACAGATATTTTTTGAAATTACTTTCCTATGCACAGCTCAGCCAGTCTTTCTGCTTTTACTTTCACAAGTCAAATTGACATGTGGCAGCCATTCCCGTGTGTGCAGCCTCCTCCTGCTTTCATTATCATCATCTGCTCAGGCAGAGTTTCAAACTGTTTTTTAAAGTTGATGAACTACAAATGCAGCTGCTGCATATAATGCCAAATCAATAAGATGGATTTTAACAATGAATGAAGTGTTTTTTGAAAAACAGAGGAACATGATGACACATGAGATTTCTGTGAAAAAATTTTTAAGACCCTGTAGTTTGTTTTTTTTTTTAATAGTGAAAGGTGTTAATGCATTTTGTATATATCCTTGGGATTATGTGGTGAAATCAGCATGAAAATGTAAGAACCAATATACAGTATTTTGAACCTGGGAACTTAACATGTTTTAATGTTTAAGATGCCAACTGCTTTGGGGAGAAATGCTTTTCAGTATGCGAGCCAATTCTTTGGTTTATCTTTGCTGTACTCTACTGACTATGAGTCTATCATGTGAAAGCTTAGTTTGATTAAAACGGAGCTGATGCCAAACTGTGATGGCAATGAGAAGAAAGACAAATAACACCTTTATTTACAGTTTATTTTCTGATTTAATGTGATCAAAGAAAATTTGGGGTCAAAAGTTCGATTTTTGGTTCTAAATCTAATTAAACTTAACTTTCCCACACACCTGGTAGTAAAACACCTAGTAACAGTTCAGATGCCCCTGTTGTCTTCATAAAACAAAAAAAAACTACTGATCATTAAAGAAGCAACTGTTTGCTGGCTGTCCCTTGGTGAAGAAAAGGATGGGGATGTGTAGTACCTGTGGTGAGGCAGGGTTGGAGGATGACACTGGGCCTGAAGAGTGAGAAGTGCCACCAGCCTGCAGGGCAGCAGCAGCGTAACTCAACTTCTCGCTCTGAGAAGGCGCTAGAGCGAGAGCAGTGCAAAGAGAAGGTGGGGGAACAAAGAACAAATGATAACTATTCCCATACAGATGTCAGTAAAGAAAGCCTGTGAAGTCACCTCTTCTCCTGTCACACTTAAGAAGCTTTAAATGAAACCTAATTAGTGCTCTACTGGATTTTTATTAATGGAAGTGATTACCACTTTATTATCACAAGGACCTGAAAGAATTTAACTGGGCTTCAGCAGCTGGTAAATTTAAATAAATGGATTTACCTTTGAGTGAACTACTGGACTTTGTTGCATTGTCCCGATTGAAGAAGAGACTGCCAGGCTGAAGGCTAGACCCAGATAAAGGAGACTCATCCTTCAACCTGAACTGTCCTAGCTTTGTCACTTTCTGACAGGAAAGAAGGCAAAGTTTAACACCAAAAGACAAGACAGTAGAGTAAAGGTGCAACATATGTCAGTAAGAAGCATGGTCAGGTTTTGGTGCTGGATTCCCACCAGAACATCAATGATAGTAAAAAAAATAAAAATACTACAAACATTCTTGTCAAAGTATATCAGTGCTGCTAACAATGCAGTGGCAAGTTGAATCCAACAGTAACATGCTCACACAGACCATCTTATTTAAATACTGGGCTCCATGAACTGGGCAGGGTGCTGAACCTCAATACTTCTTTGGCACTGAATGAAATATGTCATAGCATTGAGTGTCAAACATTTCAAGAGCTAAAGCTTGTTTTGTTAGATGCCAGAAAGTATTGTTTTGGCATCAGTACCAAAACTGGCATCTGCATTAATACTTTAATATTTTAAACAACTCTCAACTCAATATTCCTAACAATATTCTTATCATCTCAAGTGATAAAGTAAAGAAACCAAACATCGATAAAGATGAAAATGTTGAGAACAAGATATAGCATTACTTACTGGGGAAGCTGTTGGAGGAGGATCATTTTTGTCAGGAGGTGAATGGAACGTGACAAAGGCCAGCCCATAAGCTATGTTCTAATGTACAGACAGACCAAACATTTTAATTCAAATTTCACAAACAGAAATGGACAGAGAGTTGTAAAGGTATGGAGATTCCTTCTAGAAGCATTTTCTGCTACATTTCTTGAATTTCTCTTTTCATCCTAATAGCAAAGAATACATTAAATGCACTGACAACATAAAGAAAAGAAATCTGTCATCTGTAGCAGCAGCTGGGCTGAAAAACATCTGACCAATAATCTTACTTGACCCAAGGAAAACCACTGTCTGTCAACCTAACATCCTACTTGAGCACGCTTTGCCCGTGCACTCAATGTGCAAGCCAAGAGCCTTCCACAAGGCACCGCAGTTGCAGACCAATGTGTTACCATTATTTACAGCTAAACTTATATGCAACAGCAGTTTTCATTCACAAAGGCTGCTGTTACAGGCCAGGCCTTCCTCTTTAAGACATAAAGCCGTATAGGTAATGTTGTTGTTGGTGCCAGAAGTTGCGACCTGTATGCGCAGACGTCTTTTACATGCAGTAAGACAGTAGTCAGCTCTAAGTGTATAGATAGGATTGTAATGCAGTTAACTGGGCATCAAGGCCACATGTAGTGTTTGTATTACCATGACAGAATAAAGCCTGTGTTTTGAATGGTGTTAGCTGGCCTCCTCCTTCACTTCTCCATGCTGGAAAAGCCTGGACTTCTAAGGCTAGTTACCAGCTACGAGCCAGGGCTAAACCAGTTCAGCCCTGAACCAGAGGTCCCCAACTATGGTTCAGGGCTGCAGATCTTGGCGGATAACACTGTATTTGAAAAAGTTACAACTAAAACGCTGCAAGAAGTAAAACCAGAATTATCATTTGAATGATGCTGACAACTGAAAGAACAAAAGGGGCTGAAAAGTGATGCCATGGTGGCTGTATTTCTGCTGGACAGGTAATTATTGTTTTTTCTTTGTTTGGGGGGCATTTGTTATTTTCCTGAAATCAGTAAGTAGTAGTCAAGCAGTGCATGTTGCAGTGTGCTTTGGGTTTTGGAGAAAAGTCAGAACAAAAGGGTTAGATTTCTTCAGTTCTCTACTTTCAAAATCGAGCTTCCTCTTGCTGGTTTTTCCTGGACTGCCAACCCTACCTTTAATGTACACCTTTCTCTGCACAGAGGTTACTTTTATTTAAGTAGTTTAATTCCCCCTCCTTGAACTGCCACCTTATTGTGGTGGAGGGGTTTGAGTACCCGAGTGATCCTAGGAGCTATGTTGTCGGGGGCTATATGTCCCTGGTAGGGTCTCCCAAGGCAAACAGGTCCTGGGTGACGGGTCAGACTAA